TTGGTGGCATCACAAAAATATATTATCCACAGGTTAACAAAACTTGTTTGGATCGTTTTGCAATTGGCCTTTCCGACCATGGTAAACGCCTTTATTGACGCAGAGCGGAAACTAGGCCTTTCCGCCTACTGAACATAAAGATAGGCTGGAGACTAGGCCTCGCCAGCTATCCAACCTGAGGCTATAATGTACGTATAATTAATTAATTAATTGTACAATAAATTAATGTGTATAAAAGTATAAAGTATGTATTTGAAAATAAGTTAAAAATTAGTAAAGAAAATATGAAAAATGTTAATGTATAGTATTGGTAGAAGAGCAATCAATAAAATAAGTTAATTATGTAATTGACCAGATTTTTTTATAGGTCTTAAAGACTGTCAATAAATAAATAAATAAATAAATAATATTTCACTACTCAGTTTTTGGTAATTGAACTCAGTGAACAAATGATAAAAACATTCATATTGATTCTTCATTACATCCAAAAAATTATAGGAAAATTATGAATTAAAAGATTCTTCAGGTTCATACAAGTTTCCAAATTAAAACAAATTATATCTGCATTACTAATGTAGCCCTTTCTAATGCTTCAGTAGAATGTATATTTAGTAGCTTAAGAAAATTGAGCAATTTATTCCGCTTTTGAGGATTTTTAATTTGTTATTGAGGAATTTCGTAACTTTTTTGTGGCAACACTGATATATATACACACGTGCTAATGTCAACGTTAATGTTGATTCTTATGTTATGTGCCACAAGGAACAACTACCATTGCTGTTAGCACTTACATTTGTATATGCGTATTTATGAATGTACATTAGACTGCATCGCCAAAAAAAGTTGCGATTTTTCCGCCCGGATTCCAAAATGTTTTATATTTTAAGACGTCCACCACAATATTTCGGAAAAATATTAAGATTTAAGTGAGTGACCGATTTGAAAATACCTCCTAAATGGAGTTTTTTATGAATAAAAATAGTTTCTTAAAGAACTTTTTGAAAAAAGTCCCATCAGATTAAGCTTAAAAAATCTGCATAAAAATATTTAAAAATCTTTTCGACGGAATCGTAAGAATGAGATTTTTGACGCTGTTTTTTTTTTTTACTTTTTCCAAAGATTGATTTACGAAAACCTTGAATAACTGGGCCAAAACTATTCTGATTTAGACTTATGGGATCTCAATAGAGAGGTATTTTCACACTATGTATTTTTATTTCTGTCCAAAAAAGTCATTCGAGTCCCTTTTTTTTTTTTCAAATACCAGCGCATCATAATTCAACTTTGAATGACGTTCGTTCATCCTACCTTTCTCTTTCATCCTTTGAATGAGTTTATTAGCAAAGAAATAAAAAGGGTGAGAAAATACCATTCCAATGACACCTCTTAAGGCTTTCTGCACATTGGTAGTCCAATCATAGTTGCTTCATCGTCACAATCATGATGCAACGATTACATGACGACTACACTTTCGCACACTCGGTCGTGATATTTCAATTCATTTGGCGTCTAAAAATTCACTTGGAGCAGGTATTTTCTGTTTTCTGGTTGATATTTTCGCGAAATATTTACGAAAACCTGCAATTTTTAAAATATAGACTGTGGTGCAACAATTCTAGACATCATTTTTCAGTAATATCTGTTCTTTTCGTTTCCTGAAATGTGTTTTGTGCATGCACACAGACTCTTTATACAATTTCGTCATATTTTATAGTTAAAGCGCTCACATTTATTGAATTTTAATGCAATTATCCACTTTTTAATAATGTCCACAGATTTTATGCAAAAAATACTGATTTTTATGCAATTTTAATGCAAATATTAACTTTTTCACTAATTTTTACCCATAAAATGTAAACAAACAAGGCGTGCACAACGATTAGCAAACGATAGTGCCGTACTTATCCGTTTCTGCATCTTCTACGATTTGCCGATAACTAGCCGATAACGACAAGTGTGCAGATCTCCTTTGAAATGCATGTGATCGGCTCAAAATTTCAGGGCGAGGCGATAACGCAACTATGATTGGACGAAGAGTTTAGGTTCAGTTATTAAAGTTTTTCTTATACCAATCTTTGAAAAAAGTTAAAAAAACAGCATAAAAAATCTCATCATAACGATTCCGATAAAAATTTGTTTTAATTTTTTTTTAATATTTTTATGCAAATTTTTTAAGTTTAAACCGTTGTCATTTGAGGGGATTTTTTGAAAAAAAAATCTTTAAGAAACTATTTTTATTCATAAACAACTTCATTTTTAGAGGTATTTTCAAAT